ATTCACATCATTATATTTGCATGACGAATAATTCCGCATCACATCATTGCATTTGCATGAGGAGTAATTCAGATTCACACCACTACATCTGTGTGACGAATAATTCGGATTCACATCATCGCATCTGTATGACAAATATTTCAGATCCACGTCATTGTTTCTGAATGACGAATGTAAAAATAAAATTGGGAGCAAAGTGTCATGAAGAATTTCTTTAATTGGATTTGATTTGGTTTGGGAAAGTTCTTTTTGTGATTTAATCAGAAGTGATTATGAAGGTTTTCTTCTTTGAAGAGATTTGTTTTAATTGACGTTATAAGGACAGTTGTGTTGTGTGTAACTCAATCTTATCAATAAATATAGAACTCTAAATTTTTTGCAGAATTCAATAATTCACTAAAAATTCAAGGCAACAAATTCATAATTTCAAAATTTCAAATATACCCACATCGAGTAACACTTAATAAATGCATAAGGAAATCTAAAAAACTGAATATTTGTCGAAGTTGCAAGAAAATACCATATGATAATGATTAGGATATGGTAATGTCACACCATATTATCATTTTTTTTTTATCATCGCCGCCGCTCCTGGTGAAAAATGTCGCAGCATAAATATCGGTATAATTAATAAAATTCCACCGACGACATAGCACACTGTTGAACCAAGAAGCCAGAATACTAAATTACAATTTAAAACTTTCAAAATCAACTAATTTTTTTACCAAAAAAAAAAATATAATCCATGATGAAGAAAGATGAACCTGTTGATGCAAAAAGTGGACCAATAGCTCGAGCTAAAGCACCTAAACATCGAAATACTCCAATTGTAACACCTTTGACATCATCTGTTGCTTCATTTGATATACATGATGTCAAACATGGAACAACCAGGCCTGATGCTAAAAATTGCAACACTTGCAAGCATGCATTATTAAATTAAAATTTGAATTTTTAAGAAATCTTTCATTCTTATCTTTTGTGTTTATCTGATGATTTTCAGCTAGTCATTGGAAAATTTGCATTATTTACTGATTAGAGATCAAAAAGTACACATTTATCAGAGGCAAAACAAAGATAGGTGGGGAAGGGAGAGAAGGAAAAAAATTGAAAGAGAGAGAGAGAGAGAGAGAGATAGAAGGAGAAAAAATTGAGAAAAATCTAATTAAGACTTCAGCAAATAATTTTTTAATCGATAAACAGCTCATGAAGAAATGATGATCAAATGGTCACAAACATTTAAATGATCAAATTGATCAAATGGTTAACTAACACCCTGAACAGTTGTTATCTAATATTAAATGAACAAAATTTCGAAAAAACATTTTACCAATTGCATAGAACGCTAAACCAACATAAAATTCTACTACGCTATTGCTATAACCGATGATAATGTATGCCGGTATGGTAAATGAAATACCGTATATAGCGGTTATATGTTGCTTATTGTTTGGAATTCGACGAATTCCTCCTAAAAAATTTAATTATTTTTGTGTGAAAAAATTTTTAAAGATCAGAGTTGAAAATTTATACTGAAAAAAATTTATACTGATTTAAAATTGATAATTCAAGAATTAATTAATAAGTGGAAAAAAAAAATTTTTACGCTACTACCGTATTCGTTTGTAATGCATAACGGAAAATTTTTTATACTTTTTATATTTTCATCATTAATAAAAAAAAAAAAAGAAAGAAAGAAATTTGAAAACCGAATTATTTTTACCGTTCTGTCAAGTTCAAAATTATTATCAGAAGTTTGAAATGCAAATTTCTTACTGATTACCTTGTACTATAATCATTAATACACCAATATACAGATACATTCTACCTTGTTGCATGCTGAAAAATATTTATAAACTTACACCTGTAAAAGAAAGATTGACAAAATAAAAGTATTTTATTTGATTAATAATCACAATTAGAATAAGCTATCCTATCCTTTTCCCAATTTTTGCTAAAATTAATGATTATTATTTGAATTTTATAATTTGTAATTTTTATTACTAATGACACATTTAACAATAATGAATTAATCAAACGAAATAATTTCATCAATGATTCGTTGTAATACATCTTCATTGAAACCTCTATTCAGATATATTCAGCGTAAAATTACACAAAAATCAACATATACAATTAGAAATGAATTTCCACATTTAAATTAATTAATGAAAAATAAAATTAAAATGAGCAATATAAACCTGTTGTAGTTGAAACGAGTGTGTGTTAAAAATGAAAGTGTAAATTCGAGACCCGAATAAAGAAGCATATAAATGAAGTATACACGTCCATATGATCGCATTATTTTCACCCCTCAATCGTCAATCTTAGAGATTAAAGTAGTAATTGATTTTTTTTTTCTCCTACTAAAAGAAATTTGCAGTTTCAATAAAATAACTCCATTCTTTGTTTTTTTTTTAGCAATAATTAATAGTGATATGTAAAATTTATCAAATTACTCAAAGTAATATCAATTTTTATTTGAAAAAACTTTACCATTCAATAATTGAAATAAATAGTGTAAAATTATCTTACCAGAATGATCACCAATAGCGGCAAATTGAAAAAGTGCGCTTGGCTTGATATACAACAAGCAGTTTTTAAGCACTTCATTAATTAATGTCTTCTAAAAAGTGATTTAAATCAGAAAATTACCATCTTCTCACTTTTTCTTTCCAGAAAAAAATATTTCAATCGATCTATTATTTGCTTATTTGAAAATGTTACGATGCAATTTTTGCAACTAACCCTTTGCGATATATGAAGAGTTTCAGGTAAGATTAAAGCGACGAATACGAGTTCAATAATTGATAATAAAATACCAAATTTAGCTGGTGCATTAATGGCTAATTCAGTGTTAGCACCAGCAGCATTGCGTGAGAAATATACGCCAACCATAGGACCAATTAAAAAGCCTACCGAAAATGCTGCACCAATAATAGCCTAAAAATATGAAATTTGATAATACAATACTAACTATTTGATCAAAAAAGGATGAGATAGATTGTGGAAGGAGGTCGTATTACCGATCAATATCACAGATTAGATACTGCTAGTAATATATGCTATTAGTTAGATGGTAGTAATGATATGTAGATAGATTTCTTCATATCAAAATTATCACTAATAGACTTGTTTGTACTAAACTTACCACTAATAAATTTGTTCGTACCGAAGTTATATCACTAATAAATTTGTTTCGTACTAAAGTTATCACTAATAGATTTGTTCGTACCAAAATTATCACTAATAAACTTGCTCGAAAGTTATTATCATTTATAAATCCATTTGTGCCAAACTTATCACATCATTAACTTTGATTTGATTATAAGCAATTAATATTACACCTTACCATGCCTTGAACAACTTTGTTTTTCGAATAAACATCGGCCATAATAGCAATGCATATTGAAACGCTAGCTTTACTTAAACCACCAATTACTCGTGATAATAGGAAGAAAGTAAAATTGCTTGCACTATTCCATATCTATATGGTTAATTACTAAATTATAATGAGAAGAATTAATTATAATATTTTTTAGGGAAAATTTCATTTCATGTAAAATATTTGAATGATGTTTATTTTTTATTTTTTATTTTTTTGCAAATAAACGCCAAAAAGCTCTCCCATTTAAAAATCTTTTCTTATTTCAAATTAATAATCAATTTGAAAGTGAAATTTACCATTAAACAGCAACTTACCACATAAGAAATTAATGTTCCAGCAATAGAAAATAGTAGAATTGGTTTGCGCCCAAAAATATCGGATAGCGCACCGAGTAAAGGTGAGGAGAGAAATTGTAATAAACAATAAAGTGATCCTAACATACCTGTAATTAATTGCTATTCCAAATCTATTTTCATATTTAATTGAAAAATTTTGCAAAGTGTTATATTTGATAAATTTTTTTTTTTTTTTTGATGATTGTTAAAACGATAGATATTTATGAAATTTTTTAATTTTTTTTTTTTTAGCTATACGCCAAAAAAGGTCAAAATATTATTTTAGTAAAAATTTTAAAATAATTACCACCAAAAAATACGGAATGAAGACGTTCTGATGATGGTGTACCGATAGCATTTTGAAAAAACTGGCAGAACATTTCGACAGCATCGTAGAGCTGATCCTAAAATACTAATCAAATGCTATTTATGAAATCATTTTTCACATAGAACAAAGGAAATAAAAAGAGCTAACAAATTTTTCCTCTTTCAAACTGATTATTAATTTCATTTCCTCCTTCATTTGGGCATATCCGATGCAATGGCATTTCTCATCTTTCGGAAATATTTTTATGCATTTGCAAATTTTTAACATTTTTATATCAATTCGACAGTACTATGTCATATCTGTTCTATTAGAGAGTTAGTGCAGTGAGCATATGACAAAATATTTGCTCTCAATTCTTAATTTAAAAAAAAAAAAAATGAAGGAATTTAAAATAATTCAATAATTTTTTTTTTTTTTGCTGTAATTTAATTTCAATTTATTCAACAATGGAAATAAAATGTTTGCCGAATTATAAAAATTATTCCTGTAAGAGCTTGCAGTAACATCTTTCAAAAAGCAATGGGAAAAAATTAATTATTAATTAATACAATTAATAACTAATATAATTAGTCATAGGTAAGCAATAATTAATCTAAATTATTAATTAAATTATTTATTGGTCAATATATTTGATCAATAATTAATATAAAAAATATTTTTTGCTTTTGAAATCTGTTATAAAATTTTCTATTTTACTCAAATTTGTTACACCTACCCTTCGTTCACTTAATCCATAATAATCAATAATAATTGGAAAAAGTGGTAAAATAGAAGTGAATGCAAGAAGATCAAATACGAGTACGATAAATATCAATAATGGCACCAAATTCTTATTCATTTTCACAAGTGAATATGCGCCACAAAGGATAATTTTTTTTTTTTAAAAAAAAAAAACTGAAAAAATGCAGTAAAATTAATTTTTATTAATATCAGTTATTTTTTTCATTACTTAATTGAATTAACAATATTTATAGATGAATGAGAATATCAAATAATATCGAATGTAATATTGCCACTTATACTTTATACCGCAATCCGTCATAAAAACTATGTAACATTTTTTTCTTTTTTTTTTTGTACAAAACAAGAAATGGATAGTTTTTGAGAAATACACGCTAAAGAATTTAAGAATTGCAAAATTTTAAACTGCCAAAATATCAGCATCAGCAGTAAAATGGAAGAGGTGAAAGATCAAAATATTGAAGACGGTAAATTACATTTGACGAACAAATGAAACGGAATGTGTAAGCATGTAGATAAGATTGATAAATGAATATATCAATTATATTTTAGAATTAAGATGAGGTGAGCAATTTTATAAAGCATGGAATAATTCTGATAGCAAAAATCACTTCGATAAGAATGAAAAATGAATTAACCGAGGGTATATTTATGATAAATCAGAAATGAAACATGTAAATTAGTGTATTCGAGGATTGAGTTAATTTCCTCACAATTAATTTCAATCAAATTTTCATGCATACAAGAAAAAAAAAATATTAAATTCAGAATTCACCAAACACAAAAACGTTAATTGCAATGAATCAAATATAAAATGGCACTATTGGTTGAGGAGAAATCCAATAAAGAGCAGTTCAAGGACAGAATAAATTCCACTCTTTGCCATTCTTCAAATAATGAATGGACCATCTTATTATGATTGGATCACAGAGAAATTTTCGCATGCAAATGCTTTATTTTACCTTCTGCTTAATTATATTAATTTGTGGTACTTCAAAATAATCGATATTAAAAAGAATAAAATGAATTGAAATGCATGCATTGATGTTTTTTCCAGTTGTTTATGAATGAATTACAGTTGAATAAGTGTATTTTAATAATTTTTAGTTGCAATATGGAATGGAGCACTGGAAAAATGTTTTGGAATAATCTAAAGATTAAACTATAAAAAATTTGTAAAAGTGCCACGATTAGACGATAAAAATATCGATCATATCGTAATGAAAATAATGAAACGATAAATTTCGAGGATAAAATGGGAAGAGAAGAAGGGAACGAAACCTTTTGAATGTTCAAAAAAATTCTCATCCAACATTTTTTTTTTTTCATGTCCTAAATTTCTGAAGTACTCTAAAAAGCGAACCTTTTTTTTTTAGTGCATTTATAACAATCATTGTGTAAAATTTTTAATTAATGAAATTATCGTATTCTTTATTAACAACTAAGCTAACTAATAATTTAAGCGATTGAAAGAGTGCAATTAAACAATATTTGACAAATTGTACAGAAACAAAAAAAAAAAAACTAAAACTGTACGAAATTCTTTATGCTTTTTAGGTCAAGGATAAATATACCATACGGGTCAAGAAGCTAAATTAATTAATATTAACATGCTACATTTTATTTTTATTAGAAAAAAAAAATTTAAATGAAATATGGAAAAGAATTGCCCAAAATAAACCAAAAATAAACGAAAAAAAAGAAACCATACTTGATGACTCTTATAGCAATAAAACTACTCAAAAATTCATGAAATTTTAAATTTCGCAAACAAAAAAAAAAAATTAAACAAACAATAATACTGAATGAATTACGGTCATATTTATTTGAATGATGAGAGTAAAATTGTGTAAATCCATGCGCCACTTCTTGTAAATCAGCGCCTCTGTGTTTGGGTCAACAATTCGATGTCACACAATATTGACAAAATATAAAATGTATAATTGAGAATAAATTTAGTATGTATCCAAATATCAGGAAGAAATTGTTCACATTTAAAATCACACTTAGGCCACATTTACTAAAACTAGAATAAAATGTCATAATTGAATTTAAATTATTTGGTGAATAAATTCAGTTTACTATATTCTAAAGAACTGCCTCTACTAACTATTTCTCCTCCATTATCTATCAGCATCAAACATTTCATATTTCAATTTTTAAATAACTTTTCCCTTTTGTTAATTATAAAACAATCTTTTTATTGCTTCGTGTGTTACATTTTCTTGTTCAATCGTTTAATTATTTGAAAGAAAAAGAAAAA